TCATAGACAATTTTGCTTTAGATTACGGAGAAGACATTTATATAACTAATTCATTATAAACAATACACTTGAATAAAGTCTATTTAAGTAACATTTAATCAAAGAACTCTATTTATATTGAGCAAGCATTTTTAAATGCTACTGAAATTACAATTAAGGATATTAATTAAAATAACCAATCAAAAAGAGGTGCTGGAATATGTTGTAATTATTGTTAAGGCTTTTTAATCAAGAAATCGTTATTCTAAAATCTTAAGAGTTCATCAGGAGGAGCTATTTATTTGATTGATTAGGATGCTAACAAAGGTACTACCTATTTTGATTAAAATGAAAAATTTTAAATAATTGACTCTTAATTTCATAACTGCTCATCTTAAAAAGGTGGAGCCTTATATGCTGATAATCCATAATCTTTTAACATCATAAATTCAACTTTTATTAACAACACAGCCATCATATAATAAGACAATGAATTTTAAATTACAGACTAAGGTTCTGGTGGAGCAATTTATTATACTTGCAGTATTTATGTACTTAATTGTAAAATGAAATTCATAGGAACTGTGAAATATAAATAAAATAATGCTGAATACTAAGGAGGTGCTATTTATTGGGATTAACTAGAACCAATTTATAATATGAGCTAAATAATCTTTAATAATAACAATGGCTACTATTATGCTGATAATATAGCTTGCTTTTCTCAAAATCTTAAATTAGTGAATTTTACTTAATATATGAGCTAGATGATTAAAATTGGGGTTAAAAATTAGGATGATTTATATTTAAGAGAACTTTTTGATTAGAATTAATATTATGATTATTAAAGTTTAAGAGATCTCTAAGATCTTAATAATTAAAGAAGTGGGGGATCAATACCTATAATTTATTTAGCTATGATGGACAAATATGGATAAATAGTTGGTACAGATTTTATAAGTAAGGTTAGAGTTAACTTTGACACAACTAGCTTAAGTGAGAGACAAAATCTATATCCTCCAATTATTGAGGGTTCTAATATTTTTGATGTAATAGGTGGGGTCGCTGTAATTTCTGATATTATCGTTGTTGGAACTCCAGGAACATCATATCAGCTTACATTCTCCACGGATGGGATCGATCTAAGTAAAACATCAAACAAGGATGTTATGAATAAAGAAGGACTCTCAAACCTGAATTTTAATTTAGATTTCAATCTCAGAGAATGCGAGGTTGGAGAGTAGTTTACTGTTGCTGGTAAGTGTTAACTATGCCAAGGTAGTTATTCATTAATTAAAATGAGTGAGCCTGGTAGTTGTGATGTATGCCCAAAGGAAAAAGCTAAATGTCTTGGAGGAGCTCAAATAGGGCCACTTCCTGGCTATTGGAGAAGAAATAATGAATCTAAGATTTTTTCTTAATGCCTATATGAATTAGCTTGCTTAGGAATGATTCCTCCGAATAATAATATTTTAGGAGAGTGTTCAAAAGGATACCGAGGTGTATTATGCGCTGATTGTGAAATTGGCTTTTCAAGGGATAATGATTTTCAATGCTCTTTTTGCCCAATTCCTTTTTTAAATTCTCTAAGATTGCTTGCAATATTAACTGCAGTTGTAATTTTGGTTGTTTTCATGATAAGATCTTCTTTGAATGGAGCAATGGATGCTAATAATGTAACTAGTATCTATCTGAAAATACTCTTAAATCATTTCTAGCTTATTTTAGTTACGGCTTCATTTGATTTTAGATGGTCTTAGCAAATAGTAGAATTTTTCAGTTCAACTAAATAAGTAGCTACTGCTTCAACTTAAATCTTTAGCTTTGATTGTTTTCTAGATAAAAGAAGCTCTAATGATTAATCTAGTCAAGGACTAAATAGGATATTCTTTCAGAAACTAATTATGATTGCCTTATTACCTTTCTTGCTAACAATTCTTTGCTTTATTGTGTGGAATACTTATATGAAAATTCAAAAAAATTAAGTTGAAATGAGAGGTAAAATTCTATCAAGTTTGGTAATTTTATTATTCCTAGTCCATCCTAGCTTGGTCACTTATTCTTTTCAAAATTTCAAATGTAAGGAGGTAGAAGGTGAATAAAGAGTCTAGGATGATCTAGAAATTTAATGTTGGTCAACTGTTCACAATGTATACAGCTACTTCGTTGCTTTACCAAGTATCATTGTTTGGGGCTTAGGGATCCCATTTTTTGCATTAATAATTCTAATTAAGAGAAGGAAGTAATTAAATTCATTTGATATCAGACAAAGTTATGGATTCTTATACAGAGGCTATCGAAAAGATTATTATTATTGGGAAATAGTAATAATGTATAGAAAAATCTGCATTATTTTCACTGCTGTATTTATTAGTAACTTCGGAGTAGTTGCATAAGCACTTATCGTATTCTTTATTCTTATCATATTTTTACTGATTAATTTTAAGAAATAGCCATTTAACACACTTGTTCTCAATGATTTGGAAACATTATCACTAATTACATCAATGGTTACAATTTACTGTGGACTATTTTTTATCTTAAATAAGCCTTAAGAATGGATAGAAGAAAACCCTGATTATGCAAGAGGCTCAGTTTCATTATCTATTGGCTTTTAAAGATTATTTTTTGCTCTAATTTTGATCTCAAATTTGCTATTTTTTACCTACTGGTCTCTAAAGATGTATGAAGAAGCCAAAGCAAAATTTAGGGAGAAATTTACTAAAATCTATTTAGCCTTATGCTTGTGCTTTAATAAAAATAAACTAGAAGCCGAAATTATAGCCCAAGATATTGAGTAACAAAATATTAATTACTATCAATAATTGAGTAGCTAACTTAAGTTAATAAAAAAGCAATTTAGAAATGGAGAACTAAAGTTAAACAAAAATAACATAGAAAGACTATTGATCAGTCTTAGTTTAGAATAAATTAAAAAGTAAGTGAGACCTAGAGAATATGAGAGCTTTGATGCAAATCATTTTGAAAGGGAGCAGAAAAGACTTCTTCGTCGTAAATATTCAATTTCTAAGATAGAGTAGGCCAAACACTCTCTCCATAGATAAAATAATAATCAAAATTTGAAAAAACAATCAGCTTTAGAACAAAAGTTCGAATAAAATGAAGCTGATTATTATGAAGAAATAACCTAATATTATCGAGATGAAGAAAGTAGATTTTAGACAATCTAGACTGATGACTCCTAATTAGATATAAACTTTGAAATAAATTCCTAAAAGGCAAGAAGAAAAACCTTGAGTTAAAGTTAGCGTGGGCTATCCTTTAATTTCAAGTAAAATAGAGATAATTAAATTGAAAAAGGCTTTAGATATAACAGATTTAAGAAAGATAAAATAGACACAATATTAATGTCACAATAAAATGTAAGATTGCCGTAATCAAACTTATCCAATTAAGTTGATACTTCATCTTCGAACAAATAGTCTCAATATAATAAATCTCTCACAAAAGTAGAAAACAAGGTCTAAAACAACAATTTTCTGCGTATTAGAAGAGAGCTTCCTGAAATGCTTTTAAAGGCAACAACTCAAAATTAGAATCAAAGCAAAAATTTACAATATTCACCAGCTAACATGATAAATTAATTACCCTATCAATTTCAATCTTCAAACTAAAGCTAGTTAGAGTCATTATAAGAAAGTGTTAGCTAAATTGATTAAAATTCTAGTATATATGAAGAAATCTTAGAAGAAGATTAATCTTAATAAACTGAAGAATTCATTAAAATTGCTAATGAATACAATTCTAAGAAAAAATCTAACTTTATTTAAGTTTCAAAAAGATAGACTTAAAAAGGCAAGTTTGGTGTGAAAAGGAATAAGCATTAAATGATGTTAGACTCAAAAGTGAATAGAGATTCTTAAGGATTTCCAGAAAATTTGAGGACTAGTAGACAAATGCAAAATAAGGCATAATCAGAGTATTAAGAATAGTAATTAAGCATTGAATTCATTAAAGATGAAGATGAATTATCAGAAAATCCCTATTCTAATAATTAGAATATAATATAAGAGAAGATTCAAACTGAATAATAAGAATAAGAAATAGCTGAAATTTCCAATTCAGTTGTTGATAAAATTGATTATGAATAAGAAGAAATTAAATATGACGATAATAATATCATAATATTTTCGAATCGAGAAGAATAAATCTAACTGCATAAAACTAAGGCATTTTAACCAACAAAGTCTTTTATTATAAAACAAAATAAACTCTAAACATAAAATAAATTAACTGAATTAACAAAATCTAATAAAGAGAGCAACACTAAATAAGAATTAAACATCATTCAAGATGAAAATGATTGTTAGGAGGATCTTAATGAAATGGTTTTAGAACTATTAGATTACACCTATAATTCAGAAAAGACATTTGAAAACAATAAAAACTTTGAATAAAGTTAAAATTTTTCTTCGTTTGGCTGTAATGATATTGATGATTCTTAAAAGTTATTATCTACTCAGAAGATGGAGACAAAAAATTGAGATATTTGCATATTTTAGGATAAATTTATTTTTGCTCTCAGATAATGAACATGATTTTTAGTAAAGTTAACTATAATGCCCTTGGCTGATATTTTACTGATTTCAGGATATGTGGCAGCAATTATTAGATTATTATAAAGTATTTAACTTAATAAATTTTATTCCCTTAACTTAAATTTCTCATCAAAACAAGCATTATGGGGTTTTGGGGTTTTGGGG